CCATCATGATGTGTCCCCAGTGATGTGTCCATGGAGATGTGTCCCTAGTGATGTGTTCATGATGATGTGTCGTTAGTCAAGTGTCCTTAGAGATGTGTCCATAGTGAAGTGTCCATAGTGATGTGCCTATAATGAAGTGTCAATAATAAAGTGTCCATTGTGATGTGTCCATAATGATGTGTCCATGTTGAAGTGTCCATAGTGATGTGTCCATGGTGATGTGTCCATAGTGAAGTGTCCCTAGTGATGTGTCCATCATGATGTGTCCCTAGTGATGTGTCCATGGTGATGTGTCCCTAGTGATGTGTCCCTAGTGATGTGTCTATAGTCAAGTGTCTGTAGAGATGTGTCCATAGTGAAGTGTCCCTAGTGATGTGTCCATCATGATGTGTCCCTAGTGATGTGTCCATGGTGATGTGTCCCTAGTGATGTGTCCATAGTCAAGTGTCTGTAGAGATGTGTCCATAGTAAAGTGTCCATTGTGATGTGTCAATAGTGATGTGTCCATGTTGAAGTGTCCATAGTGATGTGTCCATGGTGATGTGTCCATGGTGAAGTGTCCATAGTGATGTGTCCATGGTGATGTGTCCATAGTGATGTCCATAATCATGTGTTCATAGTGATGTGTTCATGGTGATGTGTCCATGGTGAAGTGTCCATGGTGATGTGTCCATGGTGATGTGTCCATAGTGATGTCCATAGTGATGTGTTCATGGTGATGTGTCCATAGTGATGTGTCCATGGTGATGTGTCCATAGTGATGTGTCCATGGTGATGTGTCCCTAGTGATGTCCATAGTCATGTGTTCATAGTGATGTGTCCATGGTGAAGTGTCCATGGTGATGTGTCCATGGTGATGTGTCCATAGTGATGTGTCCATGGTGATGTGTCCATAGTGATGTGTCCATGGTGATGTGTCCCTAGTGATGTCCATAGTCATGTGTTCATAGTGATGTGTCCATGGTGATGTGTCCATGGTGAAGTGTCCATGGTGATGTGTCCATGGTGAAGTGTCCATAGTGATGAGTAAATAGTGATATGTACATGATGATGTTTCCATGGAAACCTGTGTGTTTCTGTCTGTCGTGATAAAATCATACAATATAAGGACCATTTTTCTTAACAAACATTAAGGATGAGAAACATCACAAAGTTTATCTCATCAGAAAGACATAATAGGTAGCATTGATTAGTTACAACATAGCTGTAATCAATAAAGTGATTGGTATCATGTGTGTTACGAGTCCTTACGACCAAATCCTGGAGAACATTATGGAGGGGTGCAAAGAGTCAAGAGGGAGATCTATTGATTCTAGATTGGTAGATATGACATGTATAGCCAATTGTCTATGTTACCTGACAGATGCTGTGAAGGAATTTGGCAGAAGTATCAGGGTGTTAAGAGTAGAGCTGGAACATCCACAGGTGTGAATGTGCGTGTGAAAACATGTAATTAGATGGCCATCCTTTTCCTGAGATGTCAGAGGAGAGAGGCCGATGAGAAAAAACAAGGAGTCTACATCGTCTTATGTTTCCCAACTTAGCAGCAAATGTCTGGTGTGTTTAATCTAGGTGTTCATCAAAGACACACACCTTGTTGTAACGACCTCACTGTTGATTCACACGGATAAAGGTGATCGCTAATTGGTTTTTATGAAGCCAATGGGGAGATTTGGGAAATTTCCTTTGATACAATGTCATATATTACAATTCCTTCTTCCCGATGTGCTTTTAATCTGTCTTTCTCTTGCAACAAGAAAGATGTTCTTTTAGGAATACAGACACAGAATTTTACAAAAAGACATATCATCAGTCTTCCTGTTTTACCTACATATATACCATATTGTATTATTGTTTTAGGTTTTTATGTATATATAAATGATACATAACCAGAGAAAAGTTTGATTTGGTACATTTATCTTCATTTGAAAAGAGGAAAAAATCTTCTGGAGCTTGATGATATAATTGATGTACAAATGAGGCAGTAATTATTACACAGAGTCACTGAGGATGAATGGGACGTTTTTGCTGTCGTTGATTGATGAGTCTGATCAGGCAATAATGTACAGAATTTTAGAAGCAATTCTCACTAATTAAGAAAATTTTTGGGTTTAGTTAAAATGTTAACTTGTCTTGATGATACTACAGGAAAAACTAAAAACTGCTGGTAGAGAATATTTCTCAGATATTTCAGGTAGCATACATCCTTAAGTCTCCTCGTCACAGTTAAAGGTACTTACAGTCTCATTTAAATATTCTTCTCTTTTTATCCCCTCAATATTTTTTAAACCTTATTTTGATTGAAAGACATCCATGCCAGTACCTTCCAACAACTCTTATAAAAGCATTTTTCATTTTTATCTTTTTATCCATCACTATGTATCAGACATGTTCTGTTTCCGGCTAAAGTACAATTTGTGTTGTTCAGAGAGTTTTTTAAAGTTTTTAATTTGGTCTGTCTTAAAGTTAAAAAGACAATATAAATCTAAATTTAGGATTGAAAAATTATAATTGGGTGGTCTATAGCTCACAGAAGTCTTTTTTTATACAATTTAATGGGGATCACTGGATTTCAAATTTTCTTCTACGCAGCTGTGCACGATGGCATTACAATTGTGCCTTAATTAGGCTGTATGCATTATATGTTGTGTTACTGAGACTTAAGGATGTATGCTACCTTCATTTGACATGTAGACTTAAGGATGTATGTGTGGTCTTGCTGCGACATGGAGACTTTCATATGTATGCAACTTTAAACTGTGACACAGACTTAAGGATGTATGCTACCTTAAACTGTGACATAGAGACTTAAGGATGTATGCTACCTTAAACTGTGATGGGGAGACTTAAGGATGTATGCTACCTTAAACTGTGACATAGAGACTGAAGGATGTATGCTACCTTAAACTGTGACATATAGACTTAACAAAATGTCTTCCTTTTCTAAAGACTGGTATTGATAAATCTGATTGGAAAATACATATTTCCATGGTGTGTATATTATTGATTAAATAATGAAAGAGCAAAAAATATGAGAGAAATGATGTAATCATTCGCAAGCAAGCATAAATGCATGCATCAAAGATTAGTTATTTTTAATTGTTAGACAAAAGTTTATTTAATTCAATTTAAGGAAGATAACCGTTTTAAGCATGAAGCATTTGAAGTTTATTTCATTTGAATCCAAAAAGGTTTGCTTCAGGGAAAACTTTGTTTTGAGTATGTCCATTGTACTTTTGAAATACAGTTTTTAAGAGTAAATGTTATCTGCTTTACTAGCACAGTATGTCCATGTGGTAATAGCAAATCCATACATCAATTTTAGGACCATTACTTAGTTAGCTCCTGGGGTTTAGTGCAGACGCTGTAATTAAATTATAATCTGACAATATGATAATGACATGGAGCATTTTGATGTATCTATCAGCTGATGAATGAATCATACTAAAACATATAGAATGGCTGAATATGTGAATGATGAGAAATCGATAGTTAGCAGCAAAATCCCCAACAATACCTGTCAGACACGACACGGATCAAATTCAAAGCATGCAAATCGCCAAGATATCCTGTCAATGGTAAATTCTGATATAATCTTATGAGGTATAGAGAATGCTTAATCGGCAAAATTATCATGAATGTAACAATTTTTTTTTGTCTGAATTTTATCTTTCCTGAAAGTCTGGCTATGACAGTATCCAGTGATGATGACCTTTGACTTGGAGACAATAAAACCAGGCTTACATGAATGTGTCTTCTAAGATTACAATCAGACAGCACTTTAGTACTATGAAAATGTTGCTCATTGCGATTAAAATTCTGGACAATATAATCAAAACTCATGAGAGAATTGTATGTCAGATATCGCGACTATTGTTGTCATAACTGAATTTCGAAAAAGGAGAAACAGGTCATATTTTATGTTTTCGTAATATTGTATCTCAGCAAATTAAATATACAACAATGAGGCAATCTCCCTCTAGGATTCATGAAGCATTATGGGGTGTCGACAGCAGGAGATGATTCTGAGGCACGGATATTCTCACCTTGTAAAGTTGCTTAATTTGTCATTTTCCCGGAGTCGATAAACTCTATCCCAGGTTATGTGGGCTGTTAAAAATACTTTCCTGTTTACCAAAGATTGCCTGGAAGACAAAGAATTCAACCTTCAATTCGGTTGCTAGTCAATAATGTCAAATTACGGATGCACTTTTCTGAATAGGTCCTCCCGGGTTAGTGATTAATAAACGAGTTGTACGCTAAGAAAAAGACGTTTTATTATCAGAGTGCAGTTTATACAAACAATTGCCTACGTCATATTCACGTGTGCACTGGGTCAAGGTTACATTGACCTTTAAACACCCAACTGCTGACACCTTTTATCTGACCATGTTGGAAAAAATTCTGCAAAATATTTTAAATGTTAGTTAAATTCCATTCCATCTCAAGATGATTAAGCCTGGAATAAAGACCAAAGGTCAAACATTCAAGGCCAAAGGTCAAACATTCAAGGCCAAAGGTCAAGCATTCAAGGCAAAAGGTCAAGCATTCCATAGCTGTAAATATGATTCTAGGAATACACTAGTGTCAAAACATGCAACAATTGTTACATTAATGACCCCGCATGTCTTCAAGGTCCTTTAGAGCTGATCAGAATACAGTGTAGCATTCTGTTTGAGCAGAAATTTATTATCAAAGAATTATTAAGATATTTTTAGGCTAAACGTACTCAGTACGCATAGCCTATTGCGACGGCCTTTCAGACAAAATTTACCGATCCTGTCCTTCTCATTGGCTGAAATATCGAAAAGAGTTAGAGCCCTCTAGCAGCAATAATGTCGCGATCTTTCAAATCGCTGTTTTAAAGGCATCCAAAATTAGTTTATTTTTTTAATAACAATACGATTACTATATATTTCAAAAAAGAAGCACAGTGTGGTTGAACTATTGATAAATTTGAACAATATGTTTTACGAATTTCTTGTTGTTTGTTCTAACAGCACTAGGATCTCAGCAGTTCACAGCTCAGCCAGAGAACACAACAACTACCCAGAATTCTACTGTGGTACTACAGTGCGAAGTAAAGAACCGACAGGGCACGCTTCAGTGGACACGAAACCGATTAGGACTTGGAACAGTCCGTGCACTGCCAGGATTTCCACGCTACTCTATGGTGGGAGGGACTAATATTATCGGAGGAGATCGAATTGGTGAGTAATCATGTCATGTGACGATATCGTGCTGACTTTTGATTGGTGAAATTATAACCCAATCATAGACAAGGTAACAAACAGTTGTTAAGGGCGAGTCTGTGTGCAGTGTCCCTATAAATGTTTCATAAGAAATTTGCAAACTGATTGTCACTTATGGAAAGAATTATATAATTTCATTTCGACATTATTATCTTCAAGAACAGGACATTAGTGAGCTGGGAGATCATGCAGGTGATAGTGAAACAAAGAACTGGATTTTAATTATGAACAGAAATTGTTTAAAAAATGCATTATGTTTGGGTTTGGAGTTACAGTACCTTCAGATATCTTATAAAAATACATTGGACGCTGATGTCCACATGAAATTTTTTTAAACATAAAAATCTTTGTGGTCAAAAACATTCTGAAATACCTTGATGCCTGATTAAGAATGAAAAAAAAAACCAATATTTGTTTTGAGGTAACAGTAGTAAAAAAAAAACTTAGCTAATTGTTAGATACACAATGAAACAGAATCATACATTTGAGCAATCTCTATAAATATTTGGAGTCCAAATCAGTTTAACTTTATTTATTTAACAAAAGTTGTAAAACAGCTTATTCCAACTTATATGAATCACTCGATCTTGTTGGCATTAATGGGAGAAAACACGAGTTCCTAGGGAAAGTCAACATTGGTTGGGCAGGGATCACCTTTTCACATCCATTAGGGGAATCCAACCCCAGACACTTCGGTGAATGGCAGGTTTGTCTGTACTCATCACCTCTGGTGTGACATCGGTAGTAGAATTATTGGTTAAAAATGATTTGATACAGTGATATTGGTTTATATCGGAAGATCTTGACTGTAGATCAGTGTCAATGTTGTTAGGGTGATATCGACAAGTGGTTTGTACTGGTGTCATGTCAGCTGCATTTTCTATCACCAATTTCATGTCAGGTGAAGTGCTACCATATTTTTCCAACAGGAAACACCCCACAGCAGGTTGAAATTTAAGATCACTGTTTTAATACAGGTAAAGACCAAATTCTCCTTGTCAATCCAATTCTTGCCTCTATTTTAGGATGTTTGAAAACCATTAAATGTAGGAAAAGCTGAATTCGTAAAAACTAGAGAGAAAAAAACAAAATGTTTGCCTTGATAAATACAGCTCTTTTCATTCCAATATAACTGTCATATATATATATATAGTTATTACAGGTCATTAAACAAAGGTATTTTATATGAAACGTGTAATTAAGCTTTATAGAAAAACGAAAAAGAGGCCAACAAAGCCCCGACAATCTGCTCGAAAAGACAAATAAAATGACTTTCATTTTGGGTGGGCTTATATTTGAGTATAGATTTATTTTTATGTACAAGTACGGTAATTTATGACAAGCTTGCAGCTGACACTGAAGTGATCAGGGTTTGATGAAGGATTTACAGGCTCTTGAAAATAGACACATAACTATCTCATCATGAAAATTTAATTAGAAAGGAAAATCGGGAAGCAATGAAAAAAAAAAGTGAAAATTGAAGGAAATGGAATATAAATTGACGAATCATTCAGTATTACGAGTTTACATGGGTATAGATATCTGATACTCAATTGAAAGGTAAAATTGATATAATTATTGACATATTGAATGAACTGGTTAAAGTTTAGGTAATATATATGATATATATCATAATAAACAAACTGATCATCATTCTCGTCTCTCGACCTTGGAAATACTGCAGGTGACCTTGGAAATTACCTTTGATAAAAGAAAAACAAAAAAAATGACAAATCAAAACTTTTTGGAAATATACAGTTTTGTTGGATAGAAAAATCTTCTTACAAAAATACAACCTCGCAGTCTTTGCCAGACAAATTAAAACACTGAAAAATTTCTTTTCAAGCAAATTTGTTTTAAAAAAAAAAAATGAGAAAACTTCACAAAAACCCACTTGTCATCACCAGTCTGAATTGTGAAGTGTCTGGTAAACTGACTGACATTATACAGTTTGTTGCAGTGATTATTTTGAAATATTAGTTTTTTCTCTAGTTACTGAAAGATATGTAGCCTGTGTGTTGGTGAGGCAGAGAGTGATAAAATGCAATGCTCATACTGATTGTCAGGAAACAGTTAAAAATGTTTACATAGTCATATATTAAGCTAAGAAAAATGATTAACATAACGAAAGGGGCTTTCAAAACTTCATTCTACAGAAAATAAAGCTGTGGTACAACAATCATGAAATAAAGCCACTGAAGTGATTTGATAATGTGTACAACACTGATCAATATTAAAAAGACATTTGGATTAACTTGGTCAGTTCTTAGGTGACTAAAATGGAATATTGGTGAGATTTTGAAAATGAGAAAAAACTCTGCAGAAATGTTTTGATGAGCTCAACATTTTGTACACAATGCAATAGGAATATATTGAAGATAACTTTTTTTTCAATTGGAATATTATGTTTTAGATTCATGTGATTATGTATAACAAGACAAGTAACTGTGATAATTTCGAGAAAGTAAATACCACCGTCTAAGTGACATGAATCACCAGGACATGATAGATCTCTACAGACACCTTACATGTCAGACACTGATGTTTCCTTCATGTCGTTGGTCAATCTTATAAAAACCAGATGAAAGACTATGGTAAACTATACGAGACTGACAGCTATTCCTCCCTTCCTGACCCTATCTTATCTAATTGTCTATGATCACAAATAACATCCATTATTTCTGGTCAATATGTTATAATTATAAACGCTGTGACCAGTGTTGTTACAGTCGGCAGAAATTTATATGTTCATTCTTCAACACTTCTGGACATGGCCCTTATCACGACTGGTCAGCTTTGTGATATTTTTCCCATTTTTGTGTTCTCAAATTTTTCCATAACCTTTCGGACATGTGTATCATAATCATATAAAGTCATTGAATGAAAAATTATTTTCTGAAAAATAGAAAAAAGATAAATAAGAAATGAACAATACTTTGAAAAAGTTAATTGTTTTATTGTCATGATAACAATATATCAAGATGACAAATATTTGTACTGGTCAGTCTGGATTTCTGCATCCACACTCCTGGTCAGTAGTTATCAATGCATGGTTGTACCTATTATCAGTGTGCAATGTATGTGGTCAGTCTGCAGTCAGCTATGGTCAGTCTGCACACACATGGACGTGATAAGGTCCTGTTAAGTGGTATTTGATGATTGCTAGCCCAGAATGTAATTATTCACATTTGACCGGTCCAGTGGAAGGATGTGAAGATTGATGGTGTTTAGACAGTGGTTCCAGACTTATCATGGATGGGACAAATGTTGACTGACCAGTCCAAGTGTGTGTTAATGGTTTTTGTAATGTGATAAACGGGCCACTTTCCTGACAACTTATATCTGCTTGTTACCACATTTTTTTTAAACACATAGTTCTCTCGAGGTTTTTTCTTTGCTGTAGTGGTTTTTAAAGGGGGTGGAAGGGAGAGATGGGAAATGAAGGGCGGGTCATATTTCCTCATGTCCATTCATTTACCTAGTTTGTTCTCTCCTATCTTCCTATAGAGATTTCCATGAAAATTTCACAAAGGTCAAGGTCAAATTTTGTATGAAATTCCAAGGCTACTGAAGTTACATATAGATATGTGTCAATCAATACAGAGATTAGGTGACTTTAAATCTATTTCTGAGTAGATTTAGGTGAAGTTTTATAAAAATGTACAGATTAAGGTAGATAGATCTCAACAAGGAGAAGTGCAGTGTACCAGAACAATCACTCTCTTCTGCATAATTTAGGAGTTATTGCCCTTTGTTATTTTTCATACTTTTGTCCCAATTGGGTAGCAAAATAGGTCTGTGACAGCCCTTGTTGAAAATCTCTTGTATACTTGATTGCAGGGTCAGGGTCAAGGTCAGAGTATAAATAGTGTTATAGATAAAGATTTGGCTGTTAATTCCAATCATAATTAAGCAATTGTATGCAAATTTTCAAAATTCAGAATTTCAGAGAAAGGAGTTTGAGAAACACGATTGTCTTCTCAATTATAGACAATATATGATGTCATTTGAACTTTTCCAGAATCTGCTGGTATCATCATCTACAATGCTATGACATGTTTCTGGTTACTTTGATGAATTGCTGCATTGGTTTTGTCAATGTTCGCTTTACATTTGACGGCATCAATCATAGTTTCTTGCCTCCTTAATCTATTCCTCAGTCTGGTATGTATGGAATTGTCCAGTTGTGGCCATTAATTCAGGTTGTCAGCTGTCTCAAGATTAATAATACATAGCTATATTCTGGCTAGCAACGTTTCAAAATCCTTCTGGAAAGGGGTCAGAAACCATCCAGGAAGACAGTGTTAGTTAGAAATCATGCAAAAAGAATCAAATTAATTATCTTTTTTCAAAAATAAGATATTGTCAGCAAAAAAAGATATGGATTTGAAAGTGACCTACTTGAAACTGAATTCAGCATCTAAGTCCTTCTTGAAGCAGACAAGAAGTCAGAAATTGTCCTAGAAATTAGAAATCATGCAAGGCAGATACAGAAATTGTTTATCCTAAATTCGGAATTAAATCAGATGTAGAAGAAAGTAAAATCAATGGATTAGAAATTATTAAACTGAAATAAATAATAAATAGTTTTCCATATATAAATTAATTATACAGAAAATGATAAACAAGACAGCGTCCTGTAGGTCTGAAATATTTCTGTCTACAAGTCAACGGACAGGATTAGTGATACATCTGATGAAATCCACGATAAATATTTATATAGTACATACAAAGAAAAGTTAGAAATCTAATTGAATTGACGGTATGAACCCATAGCTGATTTTCACTATGGTGACTTAGGCGGAACAACTAATGATGCATGATCATAGTTAGCAGGTGCTTTGTAATAGATATAATTAGGGATTAAAACGTTAAACGTACTGTCGTTAAATTTCAGCTCGTGATCTCATTTCAGACCAAGGTATCTATTTATACGATGCAAAAAGAAAATTACATTTGTTAGCGTGTAACACAGCTCTCTGTATTTTAATAAACTGACTTTAGGAAACACATCCCACGACAAATCCTGTCCATATCAACATGTTGATTTCATTATAAAAGAAAATTGAAAGTGATTTTGACGTTGATAACATCACTTGAAGGTATTTCTGGGATGTAGGTTTACCTGTTGAGCTCTGAACGTGTTGATTCAGTGCCCTAATGAATACATAACTCAATCTGTTTCTCATAATTAATACAAAGTAAGGCCGAGATCTATGAGAAATTGTACATTTTCTCTGTAATCGACACACATTACAACTGATTAAAAATATAACATTATCATACACACCGCAATGCTACTGAACTCCATTAATTTAGTCTGACATAATAGAATTTCTATTCTCGCAGTTTTTTTAATTTTTTTTTTTTTTTATATATATATAAACTGCAACAGTATCTGTCTACAGGAAAATATTGTGATACACGATTTGACCTGATATGATGCTCAACATTTTACACAGAATTTGAGAATTCTTAAATATATGTAAAATGATTTCGAAAATAAACATGAAGATAAAAGTGCAGTGAAAATATTTACATTAGAAATTTGTTTGGATGTAATATTTATAATTTAAAAGAAATCTTGAAGAGTTAGATAAGCAGGTTGCCCTGCAATATGTAAATGATACATGTACTAGGTTTATGTTATCAATGTTAATTTTTCTTACCCTCTAAAACTGTGCAAAAATGCTAAATCATACAAATTTTTTTCAATAATTTTAGAAATTGTAATTCAATCTGCTGCAAAAAAGATTAATTAAAGGCTTAATATTTTCATTCATCCTTTTTTTTTCTATTTTTAGTAAATTGTAGATTTTCCAAGTATAATAAAACATATTTGAAAGTATTTGATGAGAAAACCTATGAAATGATTTGTTGTAAATTTTATTTGGCGATGGATGGTTACAATGCTAAGTCACATACTAAGAATTACAGAACCTTTGTTTTATGCATGTGTTACAAGCTGGTTTGAAGTGTAATGTTGACTGACAAGCCAGCCTCCTCTTCCCTCCTGCAATGAAACTAAAAGCCAGTATTTTTCCATACTGTATACAATTACATAAGGCAGATTTGACAGCCGTTTGCACATGTTCCTGCACTTGATTACCTTTGTTGGAGTCAGTGACAGGGGTACATAGAAAAGGAGACGTTTTGTAGGTTAAAGTGTCAGTATTACTTATAATGAAACTCTTCAGTTACGCATTTTGTAAGTGCAAGAAAAAAAATGAAGTTGTATTAAGGGTCTCTGCTACCTAAAATCTTAATGTTCCAAGTTTTTGTTGGAGTTAATTCCCTTGTATTTTATCGGCAGGTTTATTATAGTATTACATCATTAGTAATAAATTACATGCCAATGTTTGTCAGATTTAATGTATGATAAACCAAAGGTCTTTATTAGAAAAAAATAGCTGTGTGTGAAAGTCATTTGTGACAGAGGTATAATATGAGTAAGTGTAGCATACACCCTTAAATATATTATGTCTAACACTTGACTTAATTATCTATATAACCTATATATTATATTACATATACACTTCAAAATGTGAAAAGAAAATTATTTCTCCCATAAAAAATCCTCTTTACTGAAAAACTTTTTGAATTTTATATAATGTGTTTAAGCATTTAAGTGAAACTACAAACCCTTGGGATAGGTTTTTATAGATTAGAAAAAATATATTTATGTACGTTTATTTGAGTGATGTTATATCACAGCCCTCCTACGTTGTTGTCAGAGAGTACATGACCAGGCTAACAACAAATGTTTGAAGTCTTTGTTAACATTTATCTCCCCTTGTTCATAGATAACCCTTTGACATACGAAACAATAAAAGGTTTACAAAGTATCCAATTAGTTGCGAACCTCTGAGCCTTGCATCTTCCAGCCGGGACGAATTTCGTGCATGCACAAAATTGGAAACATAAGATAAAAGAAAAGGGTCTGTTTAACGTGTGGTTTATGACTTATTAATTTAAATGTATGGTTTCTGTGCTGAGGCAGTGTTTTACAGGCATCTAATACCCTAAGGCCTCAGACTAATTTTGATTTTAAGACGTTTTGTTTCACCCACGAATGTCTCTTGTGACGTTCTCAACAGCTTCTGTCTACGACTTTTGATTTTTATGGGGTTTCATACCTCAGATACATTGATGTAGTGTTTAAAACATGCTTCTTGTGTAAATTTTTTTTGTTGGGTATAAAACTTTTCGACAGAAAACATAGCCCTTCACAGTTTAATCTTGTGTTGTTTTTTTTTAAAAATCTCTTGTTTTGCCTGAAAACAGCCATGCAGTCTGATAAATATTTGAGTCTAAAAAAATGTCTTTAGCCAGTCGTATAATTGGCTTCTAAATTGCTCTAAAGATAAATTGATGTTGCATAACTGTATGTTATCTTTATTAATAAAACATTATGAAACTGGTTCAATATGATCTAGTGTTCATAAATCTTTATAAATTTTTTTTATTTTACATATTAAGTTGGTGAGATAATGCCAAAGTCTTGTAATAAAAAAATTAATAGAAATTAGAGATTATTTCAAATAAATTATTTTGTAGATACATTCTCTAATTAGATACTATCGTATCTCTTACAATATGTGAAAATTAGTGTCGTGACACCTATTTTTTCTTGTTTATGTCATGTGAATATACAGACTACAAATGCCTAACTCTTGTCATTACTTTGGTTATGCCTAACTCTTGTCATTACTTTGGTTATGCCTAACTCATGTCACTATTTTGGTTATGCCTAACTCATGTCATTACTTTGGTTATGCCTAACTCATGTCAATACTAAATATCTAATGATAGGTAATTCTTATATATCATTTCTATACAAATCAAAATGGTCATAAAAAAACATATTCACTATTGACTTTCCAGTTTAAATTATCTTTGAATATGGTTGAATGGATTTGTTACAAGAAATATCCATCAATCATTTAGTTTAAGGATATTATGGCCATCAAAGTTAATCTGATGGCCAAAAATAAAAGAGAACAACATTGCAGAATCAATGATGTGTGGAGGTTATATTCCAGTCTGATGAGGCTGTATACCTAACTGTTTTGAACATTTAATGATATATGAAAAAGGTAGTTGTCAGAAGTCAAGTTGAGCGAGGGTTCACAATGACCTTGTGGTTTGCTGTAACGACTGATACATAAAAACTGGTCATACAATAACTTTGATGTCAGTAACATTTTACTGATATATGATGTACAGAGCTGTTTCTATTAGTCAACAAACATCGGTTCATTTATTAAGTGCGGTTTTTAGCAGATAATGAAATTCTTTTTTTTTAATCATTCTCATGTATCAGATGAGTAGATACCACTTCTCCCTCAGAAACACTATCCTTTGTGTGCACACCTCTAGACATATCAAAGGATAAGTTTGGTATTAATATGTCCTGACAAGGCCATCACAGTATGTGGTGTGGGGTTTGGCTATAACTATCTTTCTGTTCCGCTAACGGAGCCAATTTTCTACTGTTGATATAATTCATTGATTAAGGTATTATTAAAATATTAAAAGCAATTTGAATTTTCACTAACTTAAAATTCAACACCTTTAAATGGACAAAAAAGAAAATTTGACATTTGTGTTAGCATTTTTAATATTTGATTTAATCGGAATCCTGTAGACCGACTTCTGTATATAATTTAACCTTTGGTTTTTTTCATGACTGTAAATATTTTGATGTAGCAAAAATTCACCAACAGTCAGATAGAATGAATCCTCTGAAAATTACAGTTAAGTAAACATAGTTTTTTTCCTTTACAAAAATGATTAAGCCAAACATTATCTATAAAGTGTTGCAGGGACATAACGCTCAAGGTTTCTTCTATGAGTTATTTCCCGTAGATCAACATTTTATATAAGTTGACAAGCAGAATTGCTGAAATTGTTAATTTAGCAATTATTGATGAAGAGGATATTCAAAAAATCAATTCTTTGAAAATGTTGGAATTCAGAAACAAAACGAAATGTGAAAATTCTCAAATATAGAAAATATGGGGATGATATGATATTTTTCGTTTTACCCAATATCATCTTAGGTAGTGGTGGAAGGGAGGTAACTCTGATACTTTCCAATATTTTATTCTTTTAAAATTTTGGAAACTTTTGGAACAATTGATGTGGAAATCCGTCAGTAACTAAAATCTGGTTTTGATATGTCTTGCAAGCTGTCATAAATGTCCATATTCTAGATGCCCACTTATTAACAGTACTTAATCTTTTTCCTGGTTTTTTGCAGCAATCAAAAACATCATTTATCATAATTTTGTAGATACTTACCTTATTCTAATCTGATCAGAGCATTTAAGTAACACATTTTGTTGTTTGTGTATTTGTAGAGGAGTATAATCTGAAGATCATAGATGTACAACTGGAGGATGATGGCGAGTACAGATGTCAGGTCACGGCCACCGAACAGACACATGGCATCATTACCAACAAAATCACTCTCAATGTACAATGTAGGTAACCATGGCATCGACCAATCAGAATTACTGAAACAGTTGTCAGTCCCATTAATTATTATTCAATATACTGATGCTGTTTCTACATTACTTGATTACTTTGTGATTGATTATTTTATTTAACCAATCAGCTGTTTTATATATATTATCAACCAATCAAAACACTTGTAACAAATTTATGTTGACAGTACCGCCAGACCCACCACAGATGGGAGACACCTCAACTATTGCTGTTATTCAAGGGTCACCTACAAATGTATCATGTCAGGCAAACAATGGGAAGCCCGGGGCAGAGATCACATGGTACCAAGAGGGAGTACGCATTACACATAATGTTTTCTCACGAACGATGACAAGGACAGACAAGCGTGCAGATACACTAAGCGTTGTCACCATAGTTGCCTCAAAAGAGGATGCTGGGAAGAAAATTGAATGTCGGGCAAACAATCCAGCATTGCGATTGCCCTTTAAAACACACGCCATCTTGGATGTGCAATGTAAGTTTCTGAGTAAGGACGTGGGTTGAGAAACACCATGATGCAGTTTTTAACTGAATACTTGACAGTTATTGTAAGAGTTATTTCCCTTTTGGAAATATGAATGAAAGGTCACATATCTTACACAGCAACATGGAAATTTAATCATGATTATTTAAGACTTTATGATAATATGTAACATGTTATTTTATGTCCTAAAATTATCTTGATTATAGAAAAAGGTTTTGTATCTGTTCATTACCAATAGTTGCATATCTTATCTTTAAGATGTTGTCAATGTTTTTACCTGTTTAATGTCAAGGTAAATAATTTTGTAATTGAAACAATTTTCAAAATAACAAAACGTGCAAGTTTTTCATAACTACGTCAAATACATTCTTGTTTTCTTTTGATTGGTTGACAGATCCACCGAGCCTCACAATGGCCCACAACATAAGTCGTCCTATTCGGGAGTATGACTATGTGCGGTTTACGTGTACGGGGACTGCTAATCCCTACAACATTCAATGGAAGTAAGATCATTGTATTATAGGTCATATAACTTGTAACCTTTAACCTGTTAACTTGTAACCTTTAACCTGTTAACTTGTAACTTTTAACCTGTTAACTTGTAACCTTAACCTGTTAACTTGTAACCTTTAACCTGTTAACTTGTAACTTTTAACCTGTTAACTTGTAACCTTTAACCTGTTAACTTGTAACCTTTAACCTGTTAACTTGTAACCTTTAACCTGTCAACTTGTAACTTTTAACCTGTTAACTTGTAACCTTTAACCTGTTAAGTTGTAACCTTTAACCTGTTAACTTGTAACCTTTAAGATGTTAACTTGTAACCTTTAACCTGTTAACTTGTAACCTTTAACCTGTTAACTTGTAACTTTTAACCTCTTAACTTGTAACCTTTAACCTGTTAACTTGTAACCTTTAACCTGTTAACTTGTAACTTTTAACCTGTTAACTTGTAACCTTTAACTTGTTATCTGTGACATTACATTTGGCAAAAAATATGCTTCTATCAGTGGTTTTCACTTGTTTTAGTTATTTCTAAAACAAAGTGCTTTAACACTCTTCACACAAGTGAAGAGAATGGCGAAATGATTTATAAAAATTTTCCAAGATTGAAGATTTTACTGAAAATCTTGTTTGCTACTATGGAGACATAAATTTTATTAAAATTTTTGTTTATGGTTCGGAAAACTAATGACGATTCACTGTTCTACAGATGGTACCATGATGGGGTTGTGATCGATGGAAGTAATCAGAACTATCTGGACATTCCGTCAATCAAGCGTGACTACCACCAGTCAAGGATCACTTGTGAAGGTTCAAACGCCGTGGGCAGCACCCGTGCCAATGAAGTATTACAAGTACAATGTGAGTGACTAGTCTTCAGTCTGTGAACTTTTTACTGATATCTCTTTCCTATTGACAAAGTTGAGATAAGTCTCTGGGAATGCTCCGTTTATAAAACATAATTTTACATCTCAAGTTTGGCTTCTGTCTTTTACTCGGATCTGCCTTTTTCCCAACCTGCCAGTTCTTAAAAGTTTTATGTTAAAACCACATACTTGACTCCTTTTAAACATTTTAAACTTTACAACAATTTTACCAACTTATATTAATCACTCTTGTTGGCCGGGAAGGGAGCATGTGAGGGGACTCACTGATGCCAAAGTACCTTGGGAAAACCCACATGGTTGAGTAGGTAACTCCATAACTATTCACATACATTCTGGGAATCTAACCCATGATGGCTAGGTGAAAGGAGAGTGTGTTACCACTGTTCCACCTGACCACCGTGACTTTGATCCTTTAATTATGTATGTCAACAGACTACATATATATAACAATATATCTACGTAACAATTTATTTCAGATGGTCCACGCTTCATTGGAGCCCCTCAACATGTAGCCGTGGATTTGGGCGACCCAGCGACCTTGGTCTGTAATGCAGAGGGAAACCCCGAGCCTAACATCTTGTGGACTAAACAGGACTACTATAATCCCGTCAGTACCTCTCCCACCTTCCATATACAGGAAGTGGAGGGCCGCGACCTCGGCACATACATCTGTACTGCAACCTCCATGGTAGCTGGATTCCATGAAGTCAGCCGTGAAATTTTACTGCTCCAGAAAGGTATGTCAATGTCATGTTTATAGGTTAATAATTTGTTAAGGACTAAATTCCAATAAGGACAATGATAGTTCGCGTTTTGTAGGGCAAGCTATGTGATAGCGACCTCAAGCCTAAGCCCTTGATCTGAACTAAAGAATACCTCTCTGCTTCTCCTGGAAATAGTTCATTCATCATTAATATGTGGACAATAAATTCATCATTTTATAAGGAATTCATCAATTCGTAATTTTCGTCATAAAAATCAGTGATTTTCAGCATTGAAAACAACACTTGGTTTTGTGATATATAATGCTAATCGTATGGTGATTTAGTTCCAGATAATCATGCATGATGTGTGCTAGTAATTTGTAAAGGACTAAATTCCAATAAGGACAATGATAGTTCGCATTTTTTTTGAAATCCCCTCCTTAAAAAAGGATGATGATGTAAGGTAAAATTATCACTATTATCAATGATCAAAATAAATGACATTGGCATTGTCTTTTTAAGGACCACCAAAAATACTCAGCAACAAAAATCAGTATGCAGCCACAGGAGCTAGTGCTAGACTTGAGTGTCTTGTCCGTTCTGTCCCCACACCTACCAAAATAAAATGGGAGAGAAACAACGTGGAGATTGACTACGCCAACTCCGGCCGATACTCGGAGCTCGAGGAACCATTGGCTGATGGAGTGAAACACATGCTGCAGATCATGCAAGTTCAGGAGTCCGACTTTGGCCAATACAACTGTAGTGTGGAGAATTCCCGTGGCTCCGACCTTATCACCATTACCCTGTTAGAGAAAGGTAACACTTATCAAGACTAACTAAAACATAGGATTAACTTGCACATCTCAGATCTTCACCCGAGACACACAAACCATCCTGTGTATAGAGATCTCAGATCAAATGGAGGGTTTGTGTTTCTCAGGAAGTTGAGATCATGACCTGGTGCTGTTGAGGTTTTATCCTACCCTAGATTCACTTGAATAACATGCAGCAACTTCCATATGATGTTAGATAAGGTAGTTGGTTTCCTGTAAGGAGACCTGCCTGGAATACACCTAGCTGTGTATGGGGCAATACACACGAAAATATACTGATGTGCACTTGTAACAATAAGTTGTAATAATTTCGGATTTTTGACTCGTATGTCACCCCTCCCGCGCCAAGTCACTCCAAGTAAATCCCTGTATGAGAAAACATTCCTGGTAAGCAGATATTTATCATCATGCTTTGTCATACTAAGCCCCATCTTATACACTGCTTCTTAGTCCGAGCCCATGCAGTCTGGAAACCTGCATGTTTTACTGGTTCCAATCAGTATCTGATTGACAGAATGTATAAGGGACGAAACATTTGATTGGGTGTATGTGTCCATTTTAATTCTTACCTGCTATATATATTGACCTACTTAAACATAAGTATATCTTGCCTTTGTTTGCTGAACTAAAACATTTATTTTGAGTTTTTGTTTAAAAATTTACTTATCACAGCAGACATAGACTATAAAGATGCATCCTTTTATTTTCAGATATCCTGCCACTGTCTTACATCATAGGGGGCGTTGTCGGGGGTGTGGCTCTCATTTTCCTCATCGTCATCGTCTTTGTCATCTACCATCGATACAAGGCTTCTGACTCTGGTAATCCTGCAAACATTTTTATAAAATTGTAGATATTTTGCTTTTTTGAATGTGAATTGTGTTGACATGTTTGTATGCTGAAAGTGTTTAGTTAATTTTGCATTTGCAATTGATTTTGATTTTCGATGACAAATATTCCAGATATTTAATATCTAACAGTTAAAATTCTAATCAGAATCTAACAACGACTCAGAAAGGAAAATCTTATATGCAGGTGCAACAATGTTAGAAAAAATTATTTATATGCAATCTTTACATCTGTATTTCACCACACATAGAGAACACTTCTGTTTTTATGTGTTACACATCACAGTAGCATATTCCAGCAGTTGTCTCCCCTTTTAGAGTTCTCTAGAATATTGATATAGATTTTAGAAAGATTTTGGTACTTCAACTTTCTTTTGAGTCCAAACAAATGGTTTTTGCATTTTAGTGAATCATTGTAAATTCATTAAAGGTTGATATTTCCACTGTAGTTGTTTACACAAATATCACTTACTCCACAAGAATGCACAACATCAGATGTCATACCTTTGAAACATCAAATCTTCATTCCTGATTTGTATACATTTTACAGCAGACATCATTTGCATTTTGTTTCTAAATTGTGTTAATTTTCCTATCACCTCATCTGTCATTATTTGCTTCTAACATTAAATTATATCTTAAAAAGTAATCTGTATAATTTCCAGACTGGAATTTATAAAGTTCCATATAAAAATGACAAAGTAACAAATATTTTCTTTCAAATAATTAATGAATTCACTAATTGTAAACGATTGATATTTGGTGGTAATGTCGTAATTTTGCTTTAAATATCCATTAACACTCATGATAAATTCAACAATTAGTGGTGTTAACAATTTTGAATTTTTTTAAAATAAAAAGAAATGAGATTCATTAAAACAAAAAATTATCAAAACAACACTCTAGATGTAGTTGTACACTTAACACTACGTTAGGTATCATTACAGTATTATAAATATGGCCTACATCTATTTATGACTTCAATCATGAATGTGAAAGTATTTATGAAAAGTAGGTTTGATTAAAAAAAAAAACCCGAGGTATCAGCAGCCTTCAATAATGGAAAAGATGAGATATATCTTGAATAAGATGTAAAATTGAATTGTCTTGGTAACATTAAGTCTAAAAACAAGTACACAGAAACACAACCTGCTACATGTAGTATCAACACTTTCTTTAATTGCAGAGCTTTTGTTTGTTTTGTAAGCACCGTTTCTATTTCAGACTCCTACGCGGAAACTGACAGTAACACCGAGATTAAAAAACGCGAGAAAACAGAATCACCATCTGATTTTACAAAATCCACTCTGATGGACCAGTGGAGACAGGATTTAAATTTCCACTGCCCCACAGATTATGAAGATCTGTATGGACAAAAGGTGAGCAGTCTAGTGCAAGGAATTGGGGTATGAAACCCATTTAATCATACAAGGGTTATCCCCCCTTTTCCAGAGAATGAATTATTTTTATATACTTTCAAAGATGCTGAAAGATATTCATTTGCTTTGTAATAATCTATATTATATATCTTATTGTTAGAAACAAGAATAATTGAGACTGAGTTATCTCCCTTGCATGGTGAGATAGAAAATGTGATTTTTACAAATATAGCTATATATCTCACAAGGGTGATTTATTTCAGTAGAAGATAGACCTGTTATGCTAGGATTTATCTATATGATCTGACTAGGTTGTTTAAGATTGATGTCTTGAAATCAAGTTGGAAGCTTTAACTTCACCTACGCCTAACTTCAGCAGTTTGTTCAAATCATTCAGTAGATGTCCACATTAGCAGATACTTGTATTACTGTTCGATATCAATTATTTCATAAATTGACATTGATATAAAAACCAATTTAAATATCAAATGTCAGCAAATGGTCATATGTAACTTTGTGGGTTGATTACTGATGGAGTTGTCTCCCCTTTCACTAAGGGTAAACAGCAGTGTACTGTGAGTACAATCGAGAGCACGGACACCAACTGTAATGTAAGTGACTGTTGGGGTTCTGGTCTATATTACACTTTCTCTATGGCTTCTACTTACTGGTCTACCCAATATCTAAACAGAAATATTTATATCAGTAGGGGTTCAGCAGGTAAGCAGTGGTGCTGGAGGTAGCCATTTGTTAAACTAAGTAAAAATTCATTGGAGGGATAGTATATAAGATGTTTAAAGATAATTCATCCTTATTAACTGAATATCATACTGTAAATTAACTCATGTGATATGAGCTATTGTGATATCACAATATGATGATAAAATACAACATAATCTATTATAACATAACACTGTCATTCATAGAGTAATTAATGACATGAATAATTATGTAGTCTGTACCATCTCATTATTTACAATAATGGAAAAAAGACAGGCAGTTGAACTCTCTTGGTTGGAAGTCTATCTAACCCATACACAAAATTATAAAAAGATTTTAAAATACTAGATTCATATCTTTTCAATTTTATTTCACAATTAGTGAAATAGCCAGCAGGCATATTGCTGTTTAGTTTTGTAGTTCACTCTTACTTATACAATTTTTGGAAAAAAATCCTTGAAGATAAAGTCCATAGTATGTAAATTTAGAAAAAAAAAATTACTCAATATTTTCTTAAAAACTGAAATTCAAAATGATTTAGACTAACATTGCATCATATTTATATGAAATATGAATAAACACAAAAATTATTATCTGCTATTTTCGGTAGATTTATAATTTTGCTTCTTTGAGTTGTTTAAAAAGTAGGACTAGTTGTGTTGGGTAGACCTTCATCTTTTTTGCGACAGAATTTCTCAGAACATATACAACATATACAACACCTACTTTGTATTCTAATTATAAACTGATAGTCAAATTCTTCCATTCACCTTTCCTGGAATTTCTCCCTATTTGATACAATGGACTTAACCTGGCTCATAGCTTTGTGTGCTGTTCAGGACAAGTCTTTTTATGGATTGAGGGTGATAATGGTGTTAAATGATTTCTGATTTAATGCTTGTAAAACCTTGATGCTTTCACCCTTCTTTCAAATTATAATCCACCACTCCTTGATATTTCCTTTGTCTTTTTCAAACATTTCATCTTCATACCCTACAGGAGACCAAAGTAATTAAGATTTGATCAAGTCATTTCCCATTACTTCAGACCATGTTGTGAAGATCAATACATTTTCATCTAGTACCACTGATATTGATATCTTAACGGAATTTCAAAACATAAATATGATGGAAGGTCAAAAAAGAGATTCATAGACAGAGATATACTGCTGCAGCAGGCCTTGTACTTTAATTTTTCCATGCAGTAGTCCACTTCCTCCTCAGATTATTTAAATACCTTTGGAGATCTGAGCTATCATCATCAGGAAATCTCGTTCCAGGCAAATGGGATTTCTGATTCTAGCAATTAGTGATGAAGTTCAGTCTTTTGTTCAGAAATTGAACACTTCCGCAATTCCTGGCTTGTTTTCAGGAGCATTGTCATGAGGAGCAATACAAATTTGCTCAACTTTCTTTTATAGCTAGTAACTCTCGACTTCTTCTCTAAGACTGTGAAGACCTCATGATGCAGCACCCAGCAGATTTATAGGCGATCAATTTAACCCCCAAGCACAATAGCTGTAATGTTTCTATCTGACAATGAAAATACTGAACTGTCAACAGAATCTTAATTTGAACTCAAATTCAATGAAAGTACAGCAAAAAATGAACAAAAGAAATATTTACACCCTTAAAAAAGAGTGAAAGAATAAGACCAGGTGTTCTGGAAGAGTAAGCGTTTTCTGCCTCATCAACACATGCCAAAGTCATGTCAGTCAAATTCCCAAACTACATTTGTAGGTGACAACATCTGACCTACTAGGTGTACTCATGAGCATAAAATACACCTTCATATCACACTAGGAGATAGTTATGACAACTTTAAAAATTTAAATCCTTGGTTGTGCGTGTATCTATCAGTTATCAACATGTTGTGATATAAAATACAAGCCATTGAATACAATAAGTTGAAAAAGTGGGGAAGGTTGAGTTAGCAATTCTTTGATGGGAGTTAGCAAGACATTGCCTGGGTTTAGATGTCAAGGTTAAAAATGAATGAATCCGTGTCTACATGACTACAAAACCTGCTGTAGGAACATTCGACTCCTCCTCATAAAGCTTTACATTTTCTGTAGTCAGCTAGATAAATGTAGAAATGAAAGGTTTTAAGGCTTATTTGGGAGAAGTCATGCTTAGTACTAGCTTGATGGGGATAGATAGTGGTGGTGGAAAAATTTAACCAGTTTTTTCAGCTTTACAATATATCATGTTTTTAATACTTGATTTTTAATTGTAAAAGAACTTGGTAAATGCTTTATTTCTTTGGTGGAAGTCTGTAAATGCTGCTAGTCTACATACTACCAATATTGTTTGACCTCTGAACTCACAAGTTTTGACAAACCAAATTGATAAAATTACAATTTATTTTCAATTCAATTTCATACCACGTTAAGTAAAAAAATAATTATTTTGGATTGGATGATACCAATAATGTAGCTAAGTTTGGAAGTTTTATCTCATCATAACTTTCTGAATCCATTACATCATCATCTTACAGGTCTTTTGGCTCGATCATCATACTTGTATATATTTTGCAGTTCACGACGCTATGAACGACAAACTTTATATTCATTGGTGTTATTTTCACTCTTTCTCTTTGACTTACAATACTGAGGCTTAGTTTGTAAAATATCACCAGTATAGGGATGTTATCATTTCTACTGCCATCTTCAAAATCTGTGCTTATTTCTTGACCACCATTGTGTTCCATCGACTATCTCTTTGATGTTTCATTTCAAGTCCTTTTTATTTACTAACAAGGTCCACCATTGTGTTCCATCGACTATCTCTTTGATGTTTCATTTCAAGTCCTTCTTATTTACTAACAAGCATCAACCCTGTTTCTCCTAATCTCCGACTAAACTTTGTCTCTTTACAGTTGAATTTTTCCATTTATTCCTTGTGTGGCCACTTAATGATATATATGTATTTTACATTTTACCCAAAATCTGTGTGCTAAATATTCATTATTTCTCTCTTTTTGAGGCAATCAAGTACTTTGATTCGTCTCCCATTTTTTACACTACATAGATAAGTTTTGAAGTTCATTATCTAGATCAATTATTCAAATATCGTTGAACTATGAAGTATTTCTGAAACTGCTGCCTTTAACACCCTTTAGTGTTATTTTTGTCCTTTACCCCAATTTCATCAGATTTGTGTTGGTTTCCAAATTGATTCCATTGACCTTTTGACCTTTGTTTGACCCTACGACCTTTGAGTTGTTTTTGATGATGCAAGTGAAAGGTATGGAGTAGACCTGATTGATGATTATATAGAGTTGTTTGTCTTGTGTTATGATATGAACGGTTGTATTTAGTGTCACATGACTGTTTCTCCAACATACCTTCTTCTCTCAGGCTACCTATAATAGAGAACAACAACTCTGTATGGCTCCATCGATCAGGACATTACCAGCTCAATCAGCCAATCAAAATATCTATCACGTCATACCTCCATACGGCCAGCGTTCTATGACGCCATGTGGCCTTGGACACAGATCTCTGGCATCCTTTGGAAATGGCCAGCGATCTGTGACACCATGTGGCCTTGGCCAGCGATCTATGACCCCTTGTGAACAGAAACAAAGACCAATGTCACCTTATGAACAAGGACAGCGAACTTTGACCTCTTGTGGAGGTCGAAGAACTTTACCAAGGCGTCCCCTGGCAGCTAGTCGAGATGTGTTACAATGTGCGAGTTCCACATTACCACACAGGCCCTGTTGGCAGCACTGTGCTCACTCCTATGTACAGGTTGGTGGCCCGAGGTTGCTGTGGTGCCATGGTTTTATTGTCCGTTTGATTTTACCGTCTGGCCCTGGCTGTACCTACAAAAGAATGAGCTTGTATGAAGTTGTTTGATTTGTGTTTCGGTCTTAAGATCAGCCGTGTTCGTTGGAGTTTGTTGTGGATAATGTCTAGAGACAAAACATTGAAATCTCTCCGAAGTTTATTGTCAGAATGAGAATAACCAACTTGTTAACAGAATCAAGTTTCAAAATTAGTCCACAAAACAAAAGAAAGGCATGGAGACTCAAGAAAAGTCAATCCAGTTCAGTTATATCACGTATTCAAATAAAAAAAGTAGGTTTATAACATTGAAACTATGATGTATTAAAAAGCTTATCTCTAAAATCATATCGCACAAGGAAATGAAATATTTTGAATAATGACAACCGTAAAATTGTAAATTTCATTAACCTGTCTGTACCAAAGTGTTAACTGTTGACATCTTCCACAAAACATGGTGTTATTGCCTCCACCCTATAAAAGCTTTGAGGGGCTACACTGCTAAATGTATGCTGATGTGTCCATGTTACTGTAGTTGGAGTAGGATTATGATGGCATCATAACACTTCAGAAAAAATATTCTTTAATCTAGGATAGAATTATATCTGCTTTCTGCTGGTTTATTTTTAATGAATGCCTTGCTATTTAATTTGTTTAATCCAAAATAAATGTTTTACCTAATGATGCTTCTGTGGTCACTATAATAACATAAGGTTTAGGTGTTTCATAACTTGCCACAAATTGTTGGGAAATCCTTGGCACCAACAACAGACCTGTATGTAAAAATAAAGTCTGTGAATCCTGAACAACTTTTCTTAAATTTGATAGAGAAACTGTGTTCTGAATTCTATTTGGGAAAACTGAATAATGAATGGATAATACAACATAATTAAAACCTGTGTTGTTATGGAGTTTTGTGGTTGTGCGTGTGGAATAAACTTTAAAATGGTGTACATTTTATGTCATTTTGTCAGAGAAATCAATGGTCAATATTCTCTCACATCAAGAAGTTTGTAAAAGCATATACTGAACAAAGCCAAAGCGATTAATTTACTAAAGCATCTTGCTCGTTATTGGTTAAGGTCTAACGCCATTAACAAGGCCAAAGGATTGACAGTATTTTCTGTAGAATTGCCTCAAATCTAGAATGTCCGAAACAGAGGCGTAAGGACTAAAGTAAAGGCTGGTATTTGTGAAGACCACATGTTCTTGTCGTATCCATGGATACGTTGTGTAGACGACTGTGTTTGATGCTGTGTTGTGTTTTTAACGATGTCCATTGTGCAACAAACCGTGTCAACTGGTATTTTTGATGGCTTTGTTGGCTCTGATATTAATGGTGAGGAATTTTGGAAATGAAATGTTGCCAGATGGACTTTTCTGCCATCAATAATTTTGAAATGAACCATATTCGTAATGATTTGGTGTGCTGTGTAATGTGAAGATTGTCATGGAACTAAATCTATTTCTGGATCAACGGTAAAAAATTGCTGTAATGTAAGGTGAGAATTTTTACCTGCGTGAAATGACGTGTGTGCGACTGGCGTGACGACCCTTTGTACTAGAAGTATTGTAACTAAGTGACAATAGTAACATTTTGGTCTGTTTCTTTTTGACTCTATAACTTACAGGTACGACTGGCTTTTATACTGCTCAGTTTCATGGTTACATAAATATTTGATACTGAACAGAAAGCTTGGCAGTAACAAAAACAAATTTGAACCATTCATGATTCATAAACATGCTTGTGTTGCCTTTTCTTTGGGATAGAATTCATTTGGAAAGTGTTGATAATTTTCATGTCATTTATACTGCTCACTTTCATGGTTACGTAAATATTTGATACTGAACAGAAAGCTTGGCAGTAACAAAAACAAATTTGAACCATTCATGATTCATAAACATGCTTGTGTTGCCTTTTCTTTGGGATAGAATTCATTTGAAAGTGTGTTGATAATTTTCATGTTATTTTGAATTCATCGAATGTATGACTTGTCTGTTTCATCTTTTTTTTAATGTTTTGCACTGATCACCATTTACATTGTCACTCAGCTTTTAACATGATCACTGATCATCCATTTATCAAAGCATGGCCATTTACAAAATATTGGGGTGTTTTCTTTCATCTCTTGCAAACACAATCGAAAATTTTGCTAAAAATGAAAAAAAATTGTATAATTTGATATGAACTCGCACGAAAAATAGTACATGAATTTGGATCATCAGTTAAAAATTAATTATATTGTCAAAAAACAGTAATTATAAAGCTGATTGTAATAGGTCTTAAAATTTGCCTTACAACCTTTTCATGTTTGAAGTGATTTTGTGTTGAAGTTGGATTGTGATCCTGATTTTCATAATTAAAGTTAAAATTTGACAATAAGTGTTAATTTAAACCAATCTAGAATCATATTTGAGATCTTTTATAATTTTAAAGTTCATCGAAGTTAACTACAATGTTTTAACTACAAGAATCATACTTAAGATTGAATGAAATATGTACACTTGGCTTTTATGCTTTTAGTGGGAATAATTATCGTGTTTCATATGCCTGTGTATAAAATGTATTTATCAGTTTTCTGGTGAATCTAATCATTTACCAATCACAACATTGTCACATCCATCATATTCATTAATTTTTTATAATTATAATTTTTGTATTTGCTATATCAAAAGAAATTGCCATCAAATCAAAACCACAGATTATCGACAAACTCCTTTATAAAACATTTCAAGATGATCATATGTGATGTTTGATTTTGTCATTGGTTTCATCGTTCATTTCTTAGACATCGTTAACAGATGCACATGAGTAGTAAGGTAACATTAGGTTTCACCAGACTGCTAGAAATATTCATTTGCACTGAGACAAATTATTGTCCCAAAAATTTGCACTGTGTTTTTATTTTTCCACACAGGAACATAAATTAAACAGTAGCGGCTATGGGACGCTGACATCTGATAATTACATAAACGCTTATGATCATCACAATGGTGGGCCGTTATTTAGTGATTATGTTCACCGAACAGATGAGGCCCTGCCAGCAGAAAGGTAAGGAGGCCGGCCACTCAACAAACCCTTGTAGGACTAACAGGTCATGCAGACTTGACCAATTTAAAATCTGGCAACCAAAAATTATGAAAAAATAATTTCACTCTGCTGATAAGAAACAACACCCAAACTCCTGCAACAGTTTTCTGTCACAAGCAAAAGTTAGGGAGTATGCATGAAGCCTGCCACTTTGTCATTTAAATTCTTCAGTTGGTAATGTGTTAGCTGATTGTTAGAAATATAGGTATAATTTGTTACTTAGCGATGGTTTTAGTAGATAAACAGATTTTCATTTAGAAGCTGATCTTAAAAAGTTTGCAATTTTATTTCTCAGCATAGATTTTTTACTGCAGTATCAGTCTTTTTTTTTTTTTTTTTTACAAATTTGGAAAGACAGTTTTTGTGATGAAAATTCCTCATTTGTCAGGATTTCAGTTTTAATTATCAATATTAACTATCTGGAAATGTCATTGATGTTGTGTTTATCACAAATTTAATTGATTATTGATCTAATTATTACTACCTATGATAATTGAACTGTTGTGTGTTGTTTATATTTTTTGCGCTTGCTTGTTTAAGTGTTTTAAATGTTTCTATAAACATTTGACTGCACATTTGTCATGAAGCACACACCATCAATGTTGTTTGCTAGCAAACATGTATAAAATTGATACAATTACATGTATAATAAATAAGTAGCTACCTGCACCGTTTGGTAACAACGTGTATTTATATTGATGTCATAATGCCGAGATATTCAAATCAGATGTTTAATATCTTTAATGAAGGCAGTAGTATATTATTAATGTTTGCTAATATCCAATTAAAATTTGTTTTGTTTTTCCATTTCTTTATTTACACCTGTCTTTGTCAAGTTTGTTGTTTGTTGACTATCTGTTTACATTATTAAGTTTCACCTGTTAAATTTGTTCAGATTGTACATGTCCTTTGTGCCTCTTGTGTTGACACGTTCTGTTTGTCTCTCCGTCAGATTTGAGTATGGTTACAATACAATATCGTACTCACCACATTTGGCACGGTCCAGGTAAGCGTGTGGCCCTTATTCGGCATTCCGTGCAGCTTAGCCCTGATAAGGCATATTAGTTATGCCTGGCTCATGAGCAAAGACATTTATCAAACCTGGGTTTGGCAGTTTGTGTTTGGAATGAGCTCATAGTATAGTAGATGTTTTGTCTGATGTTATGCCAAGTCCTTCAAATTGAACAATTTTATCACAAGCCAATCTGAGACGAATGGTTTATGGATTAATTTAGTGCGTAGTTAAACAACATCTCAGATTCATAACAAAATGAAGTGTTGCCTGACCGATGCGGTGATATTGCTTTCCAAGCCAGGAAGTGTGTGTGATCACCTTTCCTCACAAAATATGGAAAGTTTGAAATCAACCCTCCCCTTATCCTTTTTCTGTTTTTATATTCCTATGTAATTAATTATTTCATTTGAGCTTTTTTTGACACCCATTATTTTTTTTTTATTTTTCATTTTCAACAATCCATGTAGATTAACATCTTTAACAAAGATTTTTTCTTTTTTTTCTTTTAATTTTCTTTTTTTTTTTAATTTTGTAAGCATTTCAACAAAACCAAGTTGTCATGTTATATAATCCAGGAGAGTTAAATTTTACAAACAACTGACCAGCGTTGTTTTTGCTTTGCAACACAATCCTGTTGGACTGCAATACGACAAATAACTAACAAAGTAGCACATTTTATGTATGTTGAACAACAAAAACAATGACAAGGTAGCTTTTTTAAAAATAATATGACATATATAGACTCGAGTGGAATCTTGTTATCAATGTTCCTGTACGAGGCGTAAATAACATTGTGCAAAGCACTCAGTGTTCTACTACAAAGTTTTCAGCCAGACAGTGAAAACCTTTGATGTTGCTGTTTGTATAATTGTATAATCTAATATTTCTCTCATTCTCAGGTTTGAAAACGGATACAACACGTACGGAACAAGTTCATTTAGGAGTGCATCCCGGACAGATTTCACCAATCCGGATTACACAGACCCGTACTCCAGCAGACTACCACCTGCTGATGTCAACACGGCTAAACTGGCTACCACGGTGTGATGTTACCAGGAACTTTGTCGACACCTTAGATTGACTTTGTCAATTTCACATGTGATGTTGTGGGATAGAGTGCCGTCTGGATTGTATCAGATCATGTGACCTGCTTGCAAGTTTTAGAGTGGTTGTTACTATGGTCACTGATGTTTAGATGGTCACATGATCCAAAAGTAACTTTACTGAAGAAGCAGTAACAGACAGTAACAAACTAAAAATCATGTGCCTCCAACACATGTGAGAAGATCTCCCATTGGTCAATGTTATGAGTAAGATGACCAATCATAACAAGTTAAGGTCTGATGAAGAGAGACAAGAACTCTGGTTGGTTATGGTAAAACACTTACCAATCATTAACTTCATTGAAATCTTATTTGACAGGAAAGTGTTAAAATGCAGGCATTGGTTTTGAAACACTTCATAATGGGATAATGGGAGACTGTGTCTGTTAAGCTCCTGGTCGTCGTCACACTCCAAAAGTCTGGGCAACTGTCGGCGACATTCAGCATTTTATATTATAGTCTATGCACGCTCTAGATGGACTCCATATGAACATGTCATGATCATGACGTCATCATTCATCCCCCATATTGTAACATTTGCCATGGTGTGAGGTACACACATTGTGATGTGTGTCATGGTGTAATTTACACACATTGTGATGTGTGTCATGTTGTGAGGAACGCACATTGTGATGTGTGTCATGGTGTAAGGTACACACATTGTGATGTGTGTCATGGTGTAAGGTACACACATTGTGATGTGTGACACATTGTAATGTGTGTCATGGTGTAAGGTACACACATTGTGATGTGTGTCATGGTGTGAGGAACACACATTGTAATGTGTGTCATGGTGTGAGGTACACACATTGTGATGTGTGTCATGGTGTAAGGTACACACATTGTGATGTGTGTCATGGTGTAAGGTACACACATTGTGATGTGTGTCATGGTGTAAGGTACACACATTGTGATGTGTGACACATTGTAATGTGTGTCATGGTGTGAGGAACACACTTACACATTGTGACGCGTGAATGAAGGCTGGTCCTCTCACTGTTTTGTTAAATCAACACTGCCTTTAGGAGTGAATAAACAAGATTGTGTTCTATAGAGTTTAGCCACAAGTTTCATAGTATTGACTTTGGGAAAAGGGGGATAGCGCTGCGCTTATCAAAGGGGCACAACTCTGTAATGGCAAATATGAGTAGAAATTAATTTTGCCAAATAATGTAAAGATATGAATAGAGGCTTATTCAGGAGGACACACACTTTTTCTATTGAGAATAATTATTTCTTTCACTTCGTCTATAATCTTTTAAATACTACCTATGACTTTTTTTGAAACATCACATTTAGTATTAATGTTACACTAGGGAAAAAAAAATAAGAATTTCTGTGAATGACAAAAATAGGATGGGAGCAAAATATCAGTTATTTAACATCATTCATAGTGTCCATTTGTTGAAAGTCATTGCTGCCATTCATGTTCCACCTGCTGTTGTGTGCCTTCGTAAGTAAACATGATGTAACATAATAACCAGTACTTGTATGTTATTGACAATGGACTCAATCAGACCATCATATAGGTTAAGATGAAATTGATGTCATTGGTTAAAAAAGGATGACATGTATCTTCATTCATTGTTTTATATAATCCAACTTTTGTATTGTGTATATCAAACCACACAGACTGTGCTATTATCCAGTAACATCGTTTGTTGTACACCAACGTGTGTATTACACTTATCTCTCAATCACTCAATCAACAGGGACCACAACGATCAGATCTCAATATCACTGCTCACAATCAGTCTTAGAATAGACATGTTATGCAAGGTCTAGAGAAAGGGTCAGAACTAATATTTTGATACTGTAAATGTACTTAATTTGGCACCGTCAAATTTAAGTGCATTAAAGTTAACGCAATCATGTTATAGCGTAATACTTTCAACACAAAAAGTGCAAAAATTTGTACATTTAGACTTACATAAAGGTCAAGGGCGGTAAAATTGTGTTGTTGTCGTTTTATAATGTAAACAACAAAAGATTGAGTTTTTTTTTAATACGCTTAGTTACATCTGTCTCTACGTAAATGTAGAGTTATCTCCCCTGTTTGTTCAAAATCGAATCCTCTGTCATATAGGGATGATCAGATTTAAGGCAAAATAGATATAAATGCACAAGATATGATGTCTGAAATTTGAAGTTATGTGTCAATTCACATTTAGGCACACATTATTAGTTCTACAGTTCTACGAATAACTGTTACATGGCACATTCTTCAGGTATATATCCAGCAGATCTTTTACTGATGATTCTTAAACACTATTGATTCATTGTACATAAATGTACCTGTTTTGTCGCTGAACTTTCAATCTCTCTCCTGATACTGTAGAATTATCTTGAGAATAAGAAACTATGATCACATTGAGTCAGAAGATCGCCGTGTATGGGCAGTGGTTACACATGTAGTTTGTGATAATGTAAATGTGTTTGTAGTATGGATTTTTTTCGTTGTGATGTTTTAATCATTGTAAATTTTAATCATAAATGCAGGGCAAATGACTTGTGTATATTTCCTGTTTTCTTTTGAGGAAATACGCATGTCCGAATCTGACCGTCCACTCTATGTGTTAAAACTGCTTCTTTATGTAACTTAGTAATATTTAATGTTCCTTCTATATGATATCTGATAAAGAGTGATCTGCCCTTTGATCTTGTGTGAACGCTGACCTCATACATTCATCAACACAATTTGATATTGACTTAGTATCAAACTAGTTTTGACATTTTTCCAAACTTTTTATTGAAAATATATAAATACTTTGTAGTCAATCTTAAAGATTTGGTAGATTTAGAATAGCGTTTATTTCTAGTCATTCTGTTACTTTGGAAACCGTATCCTTGGATATGGATGTTACTTGACGACACTTTCATCAGTTCTTTTAGTTGTTTGATGTACCAACATAAGATATTTATAAACAGTTTCAACAAATACATACACCATTAATGATTGCTATAGAAATATTTTCAAAAAAATTTTCAATTTATGTTTCATTTCTCAAAAATACTGTTGTTCGAGGAGACAAGACGAAAGGACATATTTTGTAATCTTGTCCTAGAATTTCTGATTTGATGCTTAGAATCATTCCATTGGAATTTCTTCCTGATTAACCAATCAATGAGGAATAGCAACAGCTATATATTTAATCACAGTTACCCTAATATTATATGTGACTTGTACACTGTGTGTTTATTGTTGAATTACAGAAAAAAAAACTGCTGTAGGTTCAAAACTGATGGCTTCACTGTCAAGTTGAGGACAACATAAGTTGATGAAAAAAAAAACCCAAACATAACAAAAATATGTTATGACATGTGCAAGTCTATAAGTAAGGGAAGTAACTCCTGAAACGAAGGGAGATAATCCCAAAATGTTGTTATGACTTTGTGTGACCCTAGTCCCCCCTGGTGTTCATTATTGAGTATTTTGTGTTGCTTTTTTAATTTCAATTCTTGTTAAGAGTACTATTCTGTTATCCCTATATACATATATATCATTTGCAATATTTGTTACGGATTTCTGTGTGTGTATTAATGTATTTAATTATTTCACCCAATCATTTGCATCATTACGTCCAATAAATCACCTTTATACATTAGATATATCAAGGAATATGTGACAAATTTGGTGGAGTATGTTACTTATCACAAAAATAGCTGAAGCTAGCTTGACTGTTATTGATTACACCTTTGAACTGTTGTACATGTACAGGTGGTGTAGTCATGGAGGTACATATGTCACAATATCAATTAGTCACAATAACATGATACATAATACACATATTTGAGAAATATTTTTCATTTCAAATACATTCTGTTCATTCAGATTTTACTATATCAAAAGAAATATTTAGATTTCTGAATTAAGCATGTCCCAAAATATATGTCAATTGATAGGACATTTTGAGTCGTATATACACCGTCTTTGTGTTAATCGTCTCTGGGGCAAGTTAAACTTGTGTCCCAGTTAACATATATAACAGTCACACTGACAGGCAAGATCATCTAATTCTGTCTATTCCAATGTGTTTAGAAATTAAGGTTGGAATCCTGTTATCTATAGCGAGTATTGGATGTTTTACAAAGTTGTATATATATATATATCTTAACATAGAAATGCATGTGAGAATGATTGAATACCTGACTGCGCATGTATGTGGAGTGAAGGATCCCAGTAAGACAGCCAAGAGAGAGTGAGGATAACCTTGCACTTTAATGGAGTTACAAGTTATTTAATTAAATTTTGGACAAATGGAGTCACAAGTTATTTAATTAAATTTTGGACAAATTAGCAAATAACTCACAATGTCAGGGTGCTTTCTACTAGCTGTGATCCCCTTAGAATTATGGAAACCAAAATGTAATGAGAAATTTCAAAATCAATTTTTATACAAAATTTTAATGTAAACAATTTAAAGGAGTTTTTTCTTCAGTACTATCAACATACTATTGCTATCAGAGAAAGATTTTGGATATTTGATTTCAGATACTTTATCAGATATACGGCTTCCCTGTGTAAAGAATAACATTTTCCCGAGTGACATCTCAATCAAATTGTTCCGAAATGTGAATATGATGACAATCTACTATGAAATTGAACAAATTTAGATATTTTGTGGTAATGTCATCTGAAAATATGGTCAAAGTTCAGGTATATAATATAATTTTACTGCAAGGAATATTCCAATGTGGATTTGTTCATTTTGGCAGTAGTTGGAGTTGAGTTTGTAAGAATGTAGTAACTACCAGTTGAACAAACAACATGTGATGTACGTGTTAGTGACAAATGATGAGTGAATGAACAGTACGTGTGTTTAGAGTATGTAATTCTTGTTTATGTGGCTGAAAAGTATTTTTTGATGAAAGTGTTGTGTGCAATCTTGTGTACATTTACAATACAAGCTAATTTTATATAATACTTACCTGTGTTTGTTGTCTGTACATACATTTGCGGTTGAAAATGTTTCATATTTTGCAATATTGGATTTCTCAACTATTTCATTTAATAATTGTAAAAAATACCTGATGTCATATTATTATCAGATGCAAATGACATTGCTAATTTGTGTAAAAGTGAAAACAATGAAAAAATCTCATCATAAAGAGCTATGTTAAAGAATAAGCCGAGTATCTACCACCAACTGGAGATCTGTCTACAGTCAATGGTACAAAGTATTGTAAGTCTATCTACCACCAACTGGAGATCTGTCTACAGTCAATGGTACAAAGTATTGTAAGTCTATCTACCACCAACTGGAGATCTGTCTACAGTCAATGGTACAAAGTATTGTAAGTCTATCTACCACCAACTGGAGATCTGCCTACAGTCAATGGTACAAAGTATTGTAAGTCTATCTACCACCAACTGGAGATCTGTCTACAGTCAATGGTACAAAGTATTGTAAGTCTATCTACCACCAACTGGAGATCTGTCTACAGTCAATGGTACAAAGTATTGTAAGTCTATCTACCACCAACTGGAGATCTGTCTACAGTCAATGGTACAAAGTATTGTAAGTCTATCTACCACCAACTGGAGATCTGTCTACAGTCAATGGTACAAAGTATTGTAAGTCTATCTACCACCAACTGGAGATCTGTCTACAGTCAATGGTACAAAGTATTGTAAGTCTATCTACCACCAACTGGAGATCTGCCTACAGTCAATGGTACAAAGTGTTGTAAGTCTATCTACCACCAACTGGAGATCTACCTACAGTCAATGGTACAAAGTGTTGTAAGTCTATCTACCACCAACTGGAGATCTGTCTACAGTCAATGGTACAAAGTATTGTAAGTCTATCTACCACCAACTGGAGATCTGTCTACAGTCAATGGTACAAAGTATTGTAAGTCTATCTACCACCAACTGGAGATCTGTCTACAGTCAATGGTACAAAGTATTGTAAGTCTATCTACCACCAACTGGAGATCTGCCTACAGTCAATGGTACAAAGTATTGTAAGTCTATCTACCACCAACTGGAGATCTGCCTACAGTCAATGGTACAAAGTATTGTAAGTCTATCTACCACCAACTGGAGATCTGTCTACAGTCAATGGTACAAAGTATTGTAAGTCTATCTACCACCAACTGGAGATCTGTCTACAGTCAATGGTACAAAGTATTGTAAGTCTATCTACCACCAACTGGAGATCTGTCTACAGTCAATGGTACAAAGTATTGTAAGTCTATCTACCACCAACTGGAGATCTGTATACAGTCAATGGTACAAAGTATTGTAAGTCTATCTACCACCAACTGGAGATCTGTATACAGTCAATGGTACAAAGTATTGTAAGTCTATCTACCACCAACTGGAGATCTGTCTACAGTCAATGGTACAAAGTATTGTAAGTCTAGTAACTACCACCAACTGGAGATCTGTCTACAGTCAATGGTACAAAGTATTGTAAGTCTAGTAACTACCACCAACTGGAGATCTGTATACAGTCAATGGTACAAAGTATTGTAAGTCTATCTACCACCAACTGGAGATCTGTCTACAGTCAATGGTACAAAGTATTGTAAGTCTATCTACCACCAACTGGTGATCTGCCTACAGTCAATGGTACAAAGTATTGTAAGTCTATCTACCACCAACTGGTGATCTGCCTACAGTCAATGGTACAAAGTATTGTAAGTCTATCTACCACCAACTGGTGATCTGTCTACAGTCAATGGTACAAAGTATTGTAAGTCTATCTACCACCAACTGGAGATCTGCCTACAGTCAATGGTACAAAGTATTGTCAGTCTAGTATCTACCACCAACTGGAGATCTGCCTACAGTCAATGGTACAAAGTATTGTAAGTCTATCTACCACCAACTGGAGATCTGTCTACAGTCAATGGTACAAAGTATTGTAAGTCTATCTACCACCAACTGGAGATCTGCCTACAGTCAATGGTACAAAGTATTGTAAGTCTATCTACCACCAACTGGAGATCTGCCTACAGTCAATGGTACAAAGTATTGTAAGTCTATCTACCACCAACTGGAGATCTGTCTACAGTCAATGGTACAAAGTATTGTAAGTCTATCTACCACCAACTGGAGATCTGTCTACAGTCAATGGTACAAAGTATTGTAAGTCTATCTACCACCAACTGGAGATCTGTCTACAGTCAATGGTACAAAGTATTGTAAGTCTATCTACCACCAACTGGAGATCTGTCTACAGTCAATGGTACAAAGTATTGTAAGTCTATCTACCACCAACTGGAGATCTGTCTACAGTCAATGGTACAAAGTATTGTAAGTCTATCTGCCACCAACTGGAGATCTGTCTACAGTCAATGGTACAAAGTATTGTAAGTCTAGTAACTACCACCAACTGGAGATCTGTCTACAGTCAATGGTACAAAGTATTGTAAGTCTATCTACCACCAACTGGAGATCTGTCTACAGTCAATGGTACAAAGTATTGTAAGTCTAGTATCTACCACCAACTGGAGATCGGCCTACAGTCAATGGTACAAAGTATTGTAAACCTATTATCTACCACCAACTGGAGATCTGTCTACAGTCAATGGTACAAAGTATTGTAAACCTATTATCTACCACCAACTGGAGATCTGCCTACAGTCAATGGTACAAAGTATTGTAAGCCTAGTATCTACCACCAACTGGAGATCTGCCTACAGTCAATGGTACAAAGTATTGTAAGCCTAGTATCTACCACCAACTGGAGATCTGTCTACAGTCAATGGTACAAAGTATTGTAAGCCTAGTTTCTACCACCAACTGGAGATCTGTCTACAGTCAATGGTACAAAGTATTGTAAGTCTATCTACCACCAACTGGAGATCTGCCTACAGTCAATGGTACAAAGTATTGTAAGTCTATCTACCACCAACTGGAGATCTGTCTACAGTCAATGATACAAAGTATTGTAAGTCTATCTACCACCAACTGGAGATCTGTCTACAGCCAATGATACAAAGTATTGTAAGTCTATCTACCACCAACTGGAGATCTGTTTACAGTCATTGGTGCAAAGTATTGTAAGCCTAGTACCTACTACCAGGTAGTTATCGACAAGCTCTCACACCTTTATGATACATTCAAACGTTTGTACATTACTGGTGCAAGTATCAATTATCCATTCTTTATTCGTGCTACCTTTGTTGTTGACAATGAAACAAAATCATCATTCAGGGTTACTAAATACAAAACGACGACATTTTGTCGATATAGAGAAGTAATTCATTTTTCACATTCAGAAAACTGGTACATTTGTATTCTATTACTTATTGTTGCTAGAATTTGATATATTGTGTTGATGAAATTCCCAAACGAAATGAAACATACTGTTTACACTGCTCTGTTACGAATATATAGATATCCGCTTACTGATAAAAGCTACCCAGGTAATCACGTATCATTTAATAGTTTAACCTCCCACCACTTCATTCTTTCCCATATCTACTCGGTCTCCTATCTTTCCTCGTCCGCTCAATGGCCAAAGCAGGCCTTAATAATGAACGTGAATGAATGATGGTAGTTTCGCAACGTGGTAGGCTGTTGTTTGTGACAACACTTCTGTCAGTATTGAAGAATATCCCCGGCATTGTGGCCAGATGTCTTTTAGGCAAATCACGTGTGAATAAAATGACTATTTATCGGCCAGTACCTTAACAACTTATATAGAAATATATGTAATACAAAATGTACTATATATGTGTATATAAATATAAAAAGATATATGGTCTGACACGACGCCAGAACATATATCATTATAACGCAGCAATATGTAAATATAGATACACTTGTAATAAACACTCAGCAATATGTAAATATAGATACACGTGTAATAAACACGCAGCAATATGTAAATATAGATACACTTGTAATAAACACGCAGCAATATGTAAATATAGATACACTTGTAATAAACACTCAGTAATATGTAAATATAGATACACGTGGAAGATACACGTGTAATAAACACTCAACAATATGTAAATATAGATACACTTGTAATAGCCACTCAGCTATATGTAAATATAGATACACGTGTAATAAACACTCAGTAATATGTAAATATAGATACACGTGTAATAAAACTCAACAATATGTAAATATAGATACACGTGTAATAGCCACTCAGCTATATGTAAATATAGATACACGTGTAATAAACACTCAGTAATATGTAAATATAGATACACGTGTAATAAACACTCAACAATATATTAATATAGATACACGTGTAATAAACACTCAGTAATATGTAAATATAGATACACGTGTAATAAACACTCAACAATATGTTAATATAGATACACGTGTAATAAACACTCAGTAATATGTGAATATAGATACACGTGTAATAAACACTCAACAATATGTTAATATAGATACACGTGTAATAAACACTCAGTAATATGTGAATATAGATACACGTATAATAAACACTCAGTAATATGTTAATTTAGATACATATGTAAAGATAGATACACGTGTAATAAACACTCAGTAATATGTTAATTTAGATACATATGTAAAGATAGATACACGTATAATAAACACTCAGTAATATGTTAATTTAGATACACGTGTAATAAACACTCAGTAATATGTAAATATAGATACACGTGGAAGATACACGTATAATAAACACTCAGTAATATGTAAATATAGATACACGTGTAATAAACACTCAGTAATATGTTAATTTAGATACATATGTAAAGATAGATACAGGTGTAATAAACACTCAGCTATATGTAAATATAGATACACGTGTAATAATCATTCAACATGCGCATGATGTCAACACCGACAGTATTATAAAGAAAAAGAATAGAGATGTCACGTGAGATTATTCCAACCGATGTATATATCTACTATGCTAATATTGATTGTGTACGTTTCTGATGATAGTCGTCGGAAATGTTAATGAAATCCGCAGC